TTTTGTAGAAGCAATTATGTCTTTCTTAGTACTGTCATATGAGACCTATAGACAGTGGTTTACTGTGAAAGCTTGGCTGAAATGTAGTGAAACCACCATATTTTTGTGTGTAGATTAGGGAAGTGAGTGTTAGTGAGATTCTACTGTATTTTATTATTACTGTACCAACATGGAAAATCTGTTTACGATATGGAACCTCAAAGCAGTTGTCAGATGAGTTCCCTTTTCCTCTGTCCACAGATCCAAAAATGGGGGGGGGGAGGGGGAAGAATCCAATATTTTGACATAACAACAGCAGGCAGACGATTCCTTTGGATTTGATCGTGGTTCCTATTGCTGCTTTTGTTTCCACGTCCATTAGGAAATCAACCACATTACAGCAGCCCTGATCTAAATGTAAAGTAGAAAGCCGCTCGGATGTTTTTCTCCTTTCTTTGCTCTGACTGGGAATGCTATTAACATTACAAACAGAAGGTGGTTAGGGGAGTGGGGAGAACTCTGTGTGTATGTCTTGATCTGAACAGCAAAGTAAAATGATTTTGAGTCTTTCTTTTGCCATAACAATCTCCATCTCATTTAAAGCTCATCTGAACACCTTCTCTTTTTTCCTTTTGCTTGTATGTCTCTGCCTCCGCTCTGTTTTTTACGTGGCCCAGGATCACTTTATGAATCAGCATAAGCCTTCAGTGTAGGGGGATGACTTGCTTTATAAATTATCTACCTGGGCACTAACAGGATGGGACTGGGGAGGTGGAAGTGCTCTATGGTGCTTAGATATGGACACAAGGACATGCCCTGAAAACAGAGACACTCCCAGTTTTCAGACATGTATGGTCACCAGAGTGTGTGTCAGGTTTCAGAGGAACAGCCGTGTTTGTCTGTATTCGCAAAAAGAAAAGGAATACTTGTGGCACCTTAGAGACTAACCAATTTATTTGAGCATGAGCTTTCGTGAGCTACAGCTCACTTCATCAGATGTTTACCGTGGAAACTGCAGCAGACTTTATATACACACAGAGAATATGAAACAATACCTCCTCCCACCCCACTGTCCTGCTGGTAATAGGGGGACAACACCAAGACACAGGACTGCTTTATAAATCAGCTCCCTGTGCCATGCTTCAGTGTGGGAGATGCATGATGTTTAAAGTGAACCCAAAGCAATTATGTCTCCCTTCCACAGGCATCAACATAAAAACACCCAATTTCTATGGTGATTTAAAATGACAGCCGGGGCAGGGCACTTAGGAGATCATCCTCTTACCCTATCCTGACAGGTTTCGGAGTAGCAGCCGTGTTAGTCTGTATTCGCAAAAAGAAAAGGAATACTTGTGGCACCTTAGAGACGAACCAATTTATTTGAGCATCCGATGAAGTGAGCTGTAGCTCACGAAAGCTTATGCTCAAATAAATTGGTTTGTCGCTAAGGTGCCACAAGTCCTCCTTTTCTTTTTACCCCACCCTGTTGCTGATTCTTCTCAGCCACCCTCCCAGTCCCGCACGGAGGGAAGTTGTAGTCTAGTCAGTTATTATTATTTATATTACGGTAGTGCCTAGAGGCCCCAATCAGGATCCAGCCCCACTGTGCTGCACCCTGCATACACAGACACCCCAGGGTTCTTACAATGTCAACAGACAAGTGAGATATGAACAGTGTAAGCATGTTTGGCAGGCTGCAGTTTGGGGGTACAGGGCCTGCTGGGGCAGAAGGAACTGTGGGGGACACGTGGGGAGTAGGTGGGGGCTGTGCTTTGGGGCAGATGAGGTGTCAGGGGGCACATGGGCTGTTTTGGGGGGACATGGGGTTATGTGGGGGCTGTGCTTTGGGGCAGATGGGGTGTCAGGGGGCACATGGGCTGAGTGAAGGGGCTGTGTTTTGGGTGCACAAGGGGGTTATGTAGGCACTGTACTTTGAGGCAGATGGGTATCAAAGGGCAGATGGGCTGTGTTTTTGGGGGCTGTGGGGATTATGGGGGGCTGTGCAGTGGGGAGGACCTGCAGTGTCAGGGGGCACATGGGCTGTGTTTTGGGTGCACAAGGGAGTTATGTGGAGGCTGTGCTTTGGCGCAGATGCGGGCGTCTGGGGGCACATGGGCTGAGTGAAGGGACTATGTTTTGGGTGCACAAGGGGGTCATATGGGGGCTGTGCTTTGGGGCAGATGGGGTGTCTGGGGGCACATGGGCTGTGTTTTAGGGGGATGTGCAGGTTATGGGGGGCTGTACTTTGGGGCAGATTGGGTGTCAGGGGGCTTATGGGCTGTGTTTTAGGGGGCTGTGCTGTGGGGGTTATGGATGGCTGTGTTGTGGGGTGGACATGCAGTGTCAGGGAGCACATAGGCTGTGTTTTGGGTGCACAAGGGGGTTATGTGGGGGCTGTGCTTTGGGGCACATGGGCTGTGTTTTGGGGCGATGTGTGGGCTGTGCTGTGGGGGGGACATGCAGTGTCTGGGGGCACAGAGGGTTATCCTGGGCTGTGCTGTGGGGCACATGGGCTGTGTTTGGGGGGATGTGCGGGTTATGGGGGGATGTGCGGGCTATGGGGGCCACATGCAATGTCTGGGGGCACAGGGGCTGTGTTTGGGGGGATGTGTGAGTTATGGGGGGGACATGCAGTGTCAGGGGGCACAGGGGTGTGTCCTGGGCTGTGTTTGGGGGGATGTGCGGGCTATGGGGGGATGTGCGGGCTATAGGGTCACATGCAGTGTCTGGGGGCACATGGGCTGTGTTTGGGGGGATGTGCGGGCTATGGGGGGACATGCAGTGTCTGGGGGCACAAGGGGGTGTACTGGGCTGTGCTGTGGGGCACATGGGCTGTGTTTAGGGGGATGAGTGGGTTATGGGGGGCACATGCAGTGCCTGGGGGCACAGGGCTGTGTTTGGGGGGATGTGAGGGTTATGGGGGGATGTGTGGGTTATGGGGGGACATGCAGTGTCTGGGGGCACAGGGTTGTGTTTGGTGGGATGTGCAGGTTATGGGGGGATGTGCAGGCTATGGGGGGGACATGCAGTGTCTGGGGGCACAGGGGGGTGCCCTGGGATGTGCTGTGCGGCACAGGGGCTGTGTTTGGGGGGATGTGCGGGTTATGGGAGGATATGCGGGCTATGGGGGGGACATGCAGTGCCTGGGGGCACAGGGGCTGTGTTTGGGGGGTTGTGCGGCCTATGGGGGGCACATGCAGTGTCTGGGGGCACATGGGCTGTGTTTGGGGGGATGTGCGGGCTATGGGGGCACATGCAGTGTCTGGGGGCACATGGGCTGTGTTTGGGGGGATGTGCGGGTTATGGAGGGATGTGCGGGCTATGGGGGGCACATGCAGTGTTTGGGGGCACATGGGTTGTGTTTGGGGGGATATGCGGATTATGGGAGGATGTGCGGGCTATGAGGGGGACAGTGTCTGGGAGCACAGGGGGGGTGTCCTGGGCTGTGCTGTGGGGCACATGGACTGTGTTTGTGGGGATGTGCGGGTGGGGGGGACATGCAGTGTCTGGGGGCACATGGGCTGTGTTTGGGGGATGTGCAGGTTATGGGGGGGATGTGCGGACTATGGGGGGACATGCAGTGTCTGGGGGCACATGGGCTGTGTTTGGGGGGATGTGTGGATTATGGGGGTACATTCAGTGTCTGGGGGCACATGGGTTGTGTTTGGGGGGATGTGCGGGTGATGGGGGGATGTGCGGACTATAGGGGGGACATGCAGTGTCTGGGGGCACAGGGGTTGTCCTGGGCTGTGCTCTGGGGCACATGGGCTGTGTTTGGGGGGATGTGCGGGTTATGGGGGGGGACATGCAGTGTCTGGGGGAACAGGGGGTGTCCTGGGCTGTGTTTGGGGGGGATGTGCGGGTTATGGGGGGACATGCAGTGTCTGGGGCACATGGGCTGTGTTTGGGGGGATGTGTGGGTTATGGGGGGACATGTAGTGTCTGGGGGGTCAGGGAGGTGTCCTGGGCTGTGCTATAGGGCACAGGGGCTGTGTTTGGGGGATGTGCCGGTTATGGGGGATGTGCGGGCTATGGGGGGGCACATGCAATGTCTGGGGGCACATGGTCTGTGTTTGGGGGGGATATGCGGGCTGTGGGGGGATGTGCGGCCTATGGGGGGCACAAGCAGTGTCTGGTGGCACAGGGGCTGTGTTTGGGGGGATGTGCGGGCTATAGGGGATGTGCGGGCTATGGGGGACATGCAGTGTTTGGGGGCTCGGGGGGGCTGTCCTGGGCTGTGCTATGGGGCACATGGTCTGTGTTTGGGGGGATATGCGGGCTATGGGGGATGTGCAGCCTATGGGGGGCACAAGCAGTGTCTGGGGGCATAGGGGCTGTGTTTGGGGGGATTTGCGGGTTATGGGGGACATGCAGTGTCTGAGGGCTCGGGGGGGCTGTCCTGGGCTGCGCTACGGGGCACAGGGGCTGTGTTTGGGGGGATGTGGGGCTTATGGGGGGACATTGAGTGTCTGGGGGCACGGGGGGGGGCGTGCTCGGCTGTGCTGCGGGCGACCAAGCGGCCCACGGGGGCCCGTGAGCGGCAGGCCCAGCAAGACGCGGCTCGCCCGGCAGGGCATAACGGGTAGCGGCACGGACCGTCCCTCCCCCACCCAAGATGGCGCCGCCGCCTCAGGCGGCCCCTTTGTTCCAGCAGCGGCAGCGGGCGCCGCATTGCTGCGAAGGGCGCGAAACTAGGGCAGCGCGGCCGCGGCCCCGCCCCCTTCCCGGCCTGGGGTGAGCCTGTGGGCTGCGCCGGGCTGCGGCTGGGGAGGCCGCAGCCAATCAACCTCTTCCAATCTCTCATCCTACAGGAACACGTCCCCTAACTTTCTCCCCCTCCCATCCAATCAGCACTTTGCCCCCCCCCCCCGGCACTCCACCCCACGTGGGGAATGCGAAGCGTGCATCACCTCCCTCTCAGCATCTTATGAATATTAACCAGGCTGCGACCAATCAAGAGGCGAGGCGGTCCTCGAACAGTCGCAGTTATCTCATTCAGGCCGATGGTGATTTGCATATTCATGAGCAGGGCGGGGGCCAGACGAGGGGCTATATAAGCAGTTGCGCCGCCAGCTCTCAGCGTACATCGTGCTGGGATTTTGAAACGTTGTGCTGCCCTTGCACTCACCGAGGACCGGTAAGGAGCCCGGGGAGAGGCAGGGGAGGGCAATATCGCCTCAGGCGGAGGCGCCCTCTGTAAGGCGGTGTCCCATGGGAGCGCCCGCTTCCCTTACAGGGAGAAGTGGGTAGGGTCGGTCCGCCCGCCTTTAGCATCGTATTCAACGTTTTCAACCGCTGGAGTCCCCAACAGGGCGAAGCGCCCCGCTTGGGCTGCTGTTAGGGGGAAGGGCGATCAATTATCGACGACGCGCCTTCGGAAACAAAATGGCGTCCGGTCACGGCCGGCGCAAAATGGCTTCCCACATATGTGTAGCGCGCATGCGCGGAATGGGCGGGGCGAAGGGGAGAGGTGCTGAGGCTTCGGTCCTTGGCGCAGGACGCATGTGCGTTTGCCGCATCCGGTGGAGTGTTTGCGCCTGCGCCCTCCTGGGTGCCTGCAGTGCCGAGAAGCTCGTGCGCTCTTCCATGGCGCGTGCGCGGCAACGCAGTGGGCGTAGTGCGGCAGAGCATCTTCATTTCGGGCTTGGGTCCTGGCCTGGCGTCGGGGTCCTGAGGCGCGGGGAGCCGTTAGGCTCACCGAATCTAGCCACAGCCCATTCGAAGGCGGCCTCATGCCGTAAGTGGCGTGGTGCGCTGTGCCATTGGGTCCCACTCTACGGCACCCGAGTGGTATCGGGCCTGATGCTAGATAATCAAAGCCTGAACGGGGTGGGCAGGGCGCTGCCTGGTATGGACCCGCTACGGCTGGAGACTAAGGAAATGGACCATGCAGCTGGATCTGGGTGATAGCACCAGGCCTGCTGTGATACTGTGTATTGGAGAACATATTGGGGGGGGTGCTGGTCTTGGGGGGAAATGTTGCTTGGCTGCAGGGATAAATCATGCTGTTGGATAAATTACATTCTCTGTGGTCTCCTCATTTCTGTAATCTGGCTAATTTCTTGAAATAAACACTTTTAATCACCCTGTGTTTACATGGAGGCTGACTACCAAATGGATATCTCTAGATACAAAGCTGTGATTCTCTTCTGTGAATTACACATGGCAGCTTCCTACTAGCAGTTGTGGTATTGGTATATAAGTATTATGGTCCTATTGACACTGGTCTAGTGAATTAATCCCTTGGTCCTGTGTGAGTCCTACATACTGAAGCAACAAAAAATAACTTTTCCTGTGGGATTTAACAGTTGATGTAATGTCTTTGTTTACAGAACAAAATGGCATCAGATGAGGGAAAGCTCTTTGTTGGTGGACTGAGTTTTGATACCAATGAACAGTCACTGGAGCAAGTTTTTTCTAAATACGGCCAGATATCTGAAGGTAAGAACAAAATAAGTGGTTGTGATGAGTTTTATCTTTTTGTGATAGTGAGTATGTGCCAATGGTGTCTTTGCATTTCAGTTGTCGTGGTGAAAGACCGAGAGACCCAGAGGTCCAGAGGCTTTGGGTTTGTCACTTTTGAGAACATAGATGATGCTAAAGATGCAATGATGGCTATGAATGGAAAGGTAAAGAGATCTTGTGTTCCATTTCTTCAGAGACAGTGTATAGAGCTGCAAAATCATGGTACTATCATTTCCAGAATAGTAGCTTTGTGTTTTTCTTAAGCAGAATTAACCACAGGGGATAGTTAGAATCCTGAAATCATACATGATTCAGGAATTAAAATATTTTGGCAACATAATGGAATATTAAAATTTCTAGGAGCAGCTAAAGTAATGTATATATCTAAAAATATGAATGAAATCTAAATATGCAGACTTGCCCTTTTCCTTATTTCAAGCAATATTTTTATTTTTGAATGCTCTGTAAATAGTTAATGGTGGTGACTTGGTTGTGATTTTGGGTATGAGGGCAAATCATTGTGGACACAAATGAGTAAAACTGCTTCCAATTTGTACCTTCAGTTTGGACAGCTTATTTGGCAAATGCTGTCCTGTTATGTTTTAAAAGCATGTAAATACTGGTACAGTTTATTTTTTTTCTGTTTTGTGTTTAGTCTGTTGATGGGCGTCAGATTAGAGTTGACCAGGCAGGTAAATCATCCGAAAACAGATCCCGTGGATACAGAGGGGGTTCATCAGGTGGCAGAGGCTTTTTCCGTGGAGGCAGAGGTCGGGGGGGCCGTGGCTTCTCTAGAGGTGAGTTAGTGTAACTGATTTTCAATAACTGACTTGACACTGAGAAGTTTTTCAATGTGTTAATTGGTCCTTTATTGTGTCCATTCAAGGAGGTGGAGACAGAGGCTATGGAGGAAGCAGATTTGATTCCAGAAGTGGGGGATATAATGGGTCTAGAGACTACTATAGCAGCAGGTAAACACGATGAAAGTAGACTGCAGGAGTTCAAATTGCTGACTGTTGAGGTTTTTGTCGCGACAGTCCTGAAATAACTGTTGTTAACTTGACTGGGATGTAAATTGGCTCAGTCACAACAGCACAGCAAAAGTGTAATGTGTATAGATCACAGCATGTTTCATAAAACAAACCTTTGTTACTTTTACCAGCAGGAATCAAGGTGGCTATGGTGACAGGTCTTCAGGAGGGTCCTACAGAGACAACTATGACAGTTACGGTAAGTTTTAGTTCAAAAGGGAACGAAGAATACACTGCCTTGGGAGCTCTCTAAATCGATTGACCTGTTGAAGTCTGGAAATACTGTAAGGCTCAGTTGGACCATATCACACTCTGTTCTTGCCCATAAGAACCAGTCTATTTGCAACCAGGCCTTGGAAATGTTTGCCACTTAAATTCCTAATTTTAATGCATGTGTAGGACTTGCTTGGATCTAAGGCAAAGCAAGTAGTAAATTCTCTCATTCATGAAGCTCGAGAATTAGGCAAAACTCCAAATGCCCTCTAACAAACTTTAATCAAGGGTGGGGGAAGTTCTCTTAAGCTCTAGTGAACTAGCACTAGCCTCTGAAATAATACAGGGAGTAAAATGCTGGAACTTGTCTATGCTTCGGTGCCTTTACAATTGTGCCTGCTTCTTGTCCTCAGCTACACACAACGAGTAAAAATCCTTCCTGACTCAAGATCGTCCTTCCAATGGCTGTATTTATAAAGATTTTTGGAGCTTCGCTGAAATCGTTATTGTGTAGTACATCTACTTGTATTTTCACTTTTGTAGTATTATCAGTTCTGATCTTGTCAAACACAGCCTGACAGCTTCTGATATAAGATGGTCTGATTAGACTTTTCTTTAAGAAAGCTCTGTTTCAAAGTGTTTTTAATCTTTTTTGAAAGCACTACAGATTTTATTTTATCCTCTGTGATAAGCCAAGGTGTTTTTTTAAAAGTTGTGAAGTTGGGGCCCTAATTCAGTTTTTTTGAGATAGAAAAGGACCTTTAATTCAATGTTCACTGGAAGCTGAACAAGCTGTGGACTTTATTTTTTTTTTAAAGTGCATTACCTTCGTCTCTTGTAACATTCCTTTAGTGTAGCAAGGTAGGCATGCAGCCTGGGTGTAAATTGGAAGGCAAACCACCTTGATATACTTAAAGAGAAACTTGCTTGTATGTTCAACCTGCATAACGGTATTTTTACTGTATGATGTAAATTACCCAGAAATAGACTCGCAAACTTACCATAAAAGAGGTTCTTGAAAATGTTTATTTATATTGTCCTTTTTTTACTGGAAGAAATATGCATATTCCGTTGATATTGTATTTGAAGTGGTAAAGGATTCTTGTATACAGTTTTCTTTGGCTTTACGAAGCCTATTAAAAGACCGTCTGAAATGAACTCTGCTCCTGACATTTACATTTCATTGCACAACACAGTCCTTGAAGATCTTGTGAACAAGCTAAGTAATAAGGAGGACGACTCTAGAGAAGAGAGCCTAGTGATAGGAGTATTAAAGCAAGCTAGACTTACTGACCATTGGAGAGAATGTAATCTTAACTGGTCTTGACATGTGAATACTGTCAAGATGTTTTCACATAAGAATAGTCAAATTGTCTAGTGGCAGACTACTAAAAGTATACTCTAGGGAATTGTAATCACTAACTTGTTATACTTAAATCATCAAAAGTGGAGGGAAAACCCAGCTGGCCAGTTTAGTCAGAGGACAGTTCAGGATTTTCATAAAATAAGCAGACATTGAAATTTGTAGTCTGAATCAGACTTTTGATAACAAGTAGTTACTGGTTTGACACAGTGTTCCAAGGTAGACAAATTGACTTAATTAGCTAGCTTTGTCATTGCCTTACAAGTTCTAAGAATTCTCTGCTAGCGTATGGAAACTGCAGTGTCCTTGGAGAAAAGAAGTGTTGTGCCTCCAACAGAAACCTCTGAGACGAAAGCTGCTTTCTGGGCTAGTTCATATGTGGAAATAGTCCTGTAATTCGAGGTAACTCCTTTTGCTCATGTCCGCATCCTTCCTCTTGTTGAGAGCTCATTTGAAAGTCTAATGTACCTGTGAAATATTCCTCTGACAGTTTTGGTCAACTAATGGAAAATTTTTAAATCCATGCCTATGCAATCTTTGGTTTGTGGCACAACTTCAGTTCCACAGGTCAGAGTTGGGCACACAGTCATGTCTTGCCTAGTAGGTATGGAAGCAAGATGGGAAGCAGAATTCCCTGACTTGATTTGTGTTCATCTATTGAGACTCTTCCTAGACTCATTAAGTCACTTAATATAGCTTTCTTTACCATCTTGTTGCCATTAACTTTCTCCCATAGCCCACACTGTTCCTAAGCAGCCATGTCAAAGTGGTTAACTGTTTCTGCTTAAGGATCAAATGAGATATATATTGGCTGGTATATCAAAGGCATCAGCCAGCCCTGGAATTTCCCAGACTGTGCTTCTGTGATGTGATAGGGTTCAGCGAATGGCTTGTGAAACCCTTGTATATGATGTGACTTGTGTTTGGGGAGGTGGGTGGCAGTGTAAACACCATGGTTGGATATGGCTAGTAACGCACATTTGCTTTACCAGGGTGAAGAGAAGATGGACAGTTGAGCCTGAAACAGCATTCCTGAGCATTTCATGAAAGCAGTACCAACAATCAACTTTCTAAGCAGGTACCATCTACAGTGCATTCCCTTGTAAGAAATTACTGGAGTAGAGGAGAGCTCCTCTTGGAGAAATTTGATTTTAGATTTGGCATATGTACATGTACCAGAATGAACATTTTGCCTTGTGCTAATATCCTGTGAGAAATAAGTGTGGGTTGATAACTTGGCTAACTCTTGGTCAGTAGCAGTTTTAGATAATTTAATATACGTATGGATCTGCTATTTGTAGAACTCATTGTCTTGTTTTATTTCAGCAGTGAGCTGCATTGAAGAGGATTGATACGGCTGACTGACCGGTGGAGTTCAAGAGCTTTGAGCAGTGTATAATATCTGATATAGATCAAGTGAACAATCTGACTTGTTATAACTGATAGAATAAAGAATTGGACTGGAAAAAGCAATGATTTTTTAATAATTTTATAAATGCAAGAAAGATGGATTTAGTCAAGGCACGATTTGATACAGATTTTGGGTTATATGATGTATAGTTTAAAGCTTTAGCACTGGAAATCTGTCCCTACTTATGAAGGTCCAGTTGATCCATAAAGGGCTAAAGATCATTGAGTGAGCCCCTGTGTAGGATTCTAAGAGGTTTGCTTATGACTGGGGGGATTGAAGGCTCCTCCTAAAATACTTTAGAATCTGTCTGTTTTAATGGCTGTTGAGGGGGTAATGATTTGGTGGCTTACCCCTTCATGACCAAGTCAGAGTTCAAAAAAAAAACCTAAAGTCACTGAAACACCATTGGAACCTTGTATATGGTTGTTCTAGCTACATGTATTCCATCTATTTTGCATTCACAAATGTTACTACCTTCTGATAACTTGAGTTTGAAGGGGCCCTATGGTCATTTGAGCAACTACATAAACACTAGTGGTCAGTATTTGTTTCTGTCCCAAACCTATTACTCTAATAAAACTTGGAATTTTAGAAATCAGATTTACATATTGAAATTTTTGCCTTCTAGATTAAAGTTCATGCACATTAGTCTACAGGTGGTTTGTACCCTCTGCTGATGAATGTTAAAAATTCTAGGGAAAAGTGTCAAAATTGCACTAAATAGTTTTGTAAAAGCTTTTCTACCAAACCTCCATATTGGGTGGCAAATCAGAGCTAACTATTTTGCAACTAATCTTTTGCTATTTATCAATTTCCAGCATCCAAAAAGTTCTACCTAAGTAGTGCTATTACTTCTACAGATTCAACTGTAAAAGCAGTGTTTCTTTGTAGCAGCTGTTTGAGGTGTCTCATACTGAAGAGAAAATTTCACATTTGGGTTTGATTAAATATTTCTAACTTGAGTTTATGTTCAGAGATCTCTCCAAACCCTATTGTGTAAATTGTCATTTAGCAGTTGGGCTACTGAAGGTGACTCAGCACTAGCAAAACCTTTTCTGCCAATCCTCCATATCCACAATAGGAAATTGTCTATCATGGCAGTTGTCTAGTACTGAAGACCTACTAGCTGCTTTAAACTGACTTAATAATGAAACTAGTACGTTGAAGCAATACTGACCCACTAACTTACATTGAAGTACTGCAGTCAGGGAAGCTTTTCAGAAATACTTTAATGCTGGAAGAGACTTAATACAATAGTGCTCAAAAGCCTCCGTTACTTTGAAGCCCCGTAGTTTTGGTGCTGTACAAATGCCTAATTTTGTACAAAAGTTTAGAATAAGGGGTAATCTAGAGGTTTTGTACTATTCATTTTGTATAAAACAGTACAACCTAATGCAGTTGTAGTTGCTGTTATAAAGACACAGACATACAATAGATTAAAGCTTTTCCCTCAGTGCAATTCCCTTATCTAAATAAAGTGGTACAAAAAGTAGACTAACTTAATGAAGGACCAAATCCTACAGGTAGGAGAAGGGTGAGGAAAAATGTTTCACAACTGTTTAAAATGTATAAATAAAAAGATGCCAGTGGCCACCTTGGCAGTTGCCTTCTGCCAGCTTGCCATAGGTGGCATAGAGGTGGGCTTTAATGGCTTCCTAAAGGAGCATTCCAGGAGGACATTAAATGCATAGGAGGTGGCTCCCCAAAAAGCCTGAAGGTTTGTGGGAGAAATGGACATAGGATTTGATTTAACTATCCATTTCTTTCAAAGCTTTTACAAGTGCATCAGTTTTTATACTTAGCATGTACAAGTGCTTTAGAAACATTTGTCTGAAAGTATCTCAAAATAGGATCAAAAGGAATACATTGGCTACAGCCAGTAATAAACACCACCTTGAACAAAATATTGAAGACTTCTTGACTCCAGCCCCTAAAGCCAGGCAACCCAATACCTGTCTTTCCTCAAATGTGTTGACTCAACTTCTCTTACTAGCTTTGTGCTTTTCTATTAGTCTTTCCCAGCAGTCTTTCCGAAATTCCAGGAAAGGGCTACCTTATGCACTCATTGCTTTTGTTTCCTTGTACTTTTTATAGAAAGGTCAAAATTAAAGCCCTGTGGGGGTAAAAAACATAGCCTTGCTTCCATTTGATCTGCATGCTAAAGTTAGTTACTTCTGCTGCATGAACATAACTACAACTTACTCTTTCCCTTGTAGCTTCATCTGGCTGGTGCTGCTCTGAGAACTTGGTTTCAGGTGTGGTTTCCCTAACTGAAACTTAAGTGAATCCTCCAGTTCGTAGCTTGCTCTGTACCTTGTTCCTCATCCTTGAAGAACTTACGCTGGTTACTCTGCTTACTGACTCTGATACACCAGTGCCTTGTACCATGTGCATTTATTTACAGCAGTGCAAAGTGGATGTGAAATGCTCACAGCTCAGAATTGGTACTGTTTTCACCCACCTTGCACAGGTGTGACAACACACAGTGCAGAGCATTGGCGTTGAACGCCCCTACATCTGAAATCTTCAGTCCCATACTTACCCTAACATTGAGCATTCTGATCAGACTGTAGTTACACTTTCTAATCTGCAGCTGGGTGCCAACCATTTGATGAAAGTTGCTTGAAGTAGATTTAATTGCCTTACTTTCATAGAATGTGCCTCATCTAGTCATACTATTTTTTCAAATATGTGAATCCAAACTCTTAGTTTCTAGAACTAAACCAACTTGAACTTGACAAAAAACAAGTCCACCTTTACAGTGAGATGTCCCAGAGGCTGACTCCTCTCACTGAGCCACATTGTCTTTGTTTCCCTTTTGTCTTAGTGAGCAGTCTGGATGTAGAGTGCATGCTTCTGTTTTTGTTCCCCTCTTAATTTTCTTCCACTGTGTTATTACAGCCCTTGCTAATTAATGAAGTCAGGTCCCTTGTTTAATCCCTTGAGTTAAATTCTTAGTTTATTATTTCCTGCTCTAAGATGCTTCTACCTGTATATCAAAGGCTCCTTTCCATTAAATATTGCCTTACCTCATTTTATTGTCTTGTCTTGCTGGAACAAGGAGGTGTCCTCAGCTGGTTTCAAGAACTTTGATATCCAATAGCTGGCTGTGAATGTTTCCAATACATCCCTTTAATTCAAACCTCACCTAAGTCTCTGCCCTTGTGGCTGTCATTGATGTTACACCAGTGCCTTGTCATGCTTAAAAGTCATAAACTAGAACTACAGCTGAGTGCATTTCTTTATTTCCAGCTGTTTGCTGAGTTTTACCTGTATTGATCTGAAGCTCCCTTGTGCTGTGCACTTTCCATACTCTTGGACTGTGTTAGAATTTCATTCTGCTATACTGACTTCAAATTCCTTTTCAGTAGCCAGGGGACTGATTTTTTTAGGTGTGCTGAGCACTTACCGAAGTGGCTTCAGTTGGTTCTGGGGTTGCTCCACACTGAAAATCTGGCCCTATGCTCCTTGTTTAACTCCTGAAAAACCATGTAGCTCTGTAAGCTTACAGCTGCAAAGTAGGTTTCTGAGACTTTTGATAAAGGGAGCAGAGTGCTGTGTGCAGGTGATAGTTGAAGGAAGAGGGTTCCTGAACCTCTGTACATACACCAGATTTACAAACAAAGGTGCTAACAGGGAAACCCCATTCCCCTTCTCATATTAATAAACAATGCATTTGATCATATCCCAGCCTTTCTTTGCATGCTGCCTCATCTACCTCTCTATTATGAGATTTATGGTAGTGCGAGTTGTTAAATTCCATTGAAGATCTGCCTTTCTAAGAAAGTGTATAAGAGTTTGTACTACATGATGGGCTAGTGAATAGGGCACTAGACTAGGAGCCAGGAGATACGGTTTCTATTCTTGACTGTACTACTGATTTGCTGTATGACCTTGGGAAAATCACTTTTCTGTGTCTGCATCTTGGACAGATATGAAAACTTACAGGAACAATTAAAGGATTTATGTGTATACGCAGCAGAGCAAATCCTGAAGTCTACTTATCTTGTACCCTCATCAAACTCATTGAACCCAACGAGAGCGGAAAAAAACATTCAATCAGAATGTTGCCTGATGTATTTAATAATTTCTCTGTTGGTGACTGTGGGAGTTCTGCATGCCCACTGCGGTTAGTGCAGCATATGAACCCTAAACAGCTTGGAAGCCTTCATGATAAATACCCTCTCAGAAGTTAAATACACATAAAGTATGATTTGAAAAACCTGTCTTAAGTTCCTGATATGAAGAGGCCTTTGTGCCCTAAATTACTTATGCAAATAATTGTAGGTGCAAAAATGGAGGCCTGACTAAATTTGATCTACAGCATAACTGGTTTCACAGATTACAGCAAACAGATTAATGAAATGATTCCCAGAATCACTTTGGGATGAAATAGAATAACTGGCTGAAAGGACTTAATAGAAAGTCCCCTGTTCAAAGAAATCCCAGGAAGTGGTTTTGAGATGTGGAACTATAGTGACACCTAATGGCCAGTGTGAAAAGGAAGTGAAATCTTGAATTAGGGCATTTTGAAAGAGCACGCTGTAATCTTCCAGACATCCCACTCTTTTCAAGTGTGTATCCTTTAAAGGTTTCTCTACAGAGAACAGGACTATTGACAACACAATATTACCACCACCAGCCTGCAAAATCTCTTAAAATTGCTGGGGGGGGGGGGGGGGGGGGAAAGCACTGCTAAAGTGAAATGTTTATTCATTCAATGGACTTTACTGAGATTTCCAATAAAACAATTAGGGCCAGATGTTCCAAAAGAGCTTGGCACTAAACAGCTCGCCATCATGACAAACCCAGATGTCCAAAAGACACCTGCATCTTAAACTTGATGAGCTCTTCAAAATCTAGCACCGACAGCCTGTGCTGAGCTATTTTGAAAACCTGTGGGCAGATCCTCAGCTCGTGTAAACTGACATAGCCGCACAATGGAACTATGACAGTTTATGCCATCTTGGGATCTGCCGGTGCTTCACGCAGATTAAAGTGGTGGCTTTTGTGATGTGGTTGTTTGTTCAGCAGAAGCTGGGCTGAGCCTGTGAACTCCTTTAAGCTGTCATTGGTAACAACTTTTAATTAGTCTGGTCCTGGTCAAATTCAGACCAGTGACTTAGAGTGTGTACCCACGTACGTCATATGTACGCACATGTGAAACCAGAATGTTTATTCCTGGTTACAGAGTAACAGCCGTGTTAGTCTGTATTCACAAAAAGAAAAGGAGTACTTGTGGCACCTTAGAGACTAACCAATTTATTTGAGCATGAGCTTTCGTGAGCTACAGCTCACTTCATCGGATGCATACTGTGGATACTGCAGAAGACATTATATACACAGAGACCATAAAACAATACTTCCTCCCACCCCACTCTCCTGCTGGTAATAGCTTATCTAAAGTGATCATCAAGATGGGCCATTTCCAGCACAAATCTGGGTTTTCTCACCCTCCGCGCCCCCCCCCCCCACAAACTCACTCTCCTGCTGGTAATAGCCCATCCAAAGTGACCACTCTCTTTAAAATGTGTATGAAAACCTGGATTTGTGCTGGAAATGGCCCAACTTGATGATCACTTTAGATAAGCTATTACCAGCAGGAGAGTGGGGTGGGAGGAGGTATTGTTTTATGGACTACGACGGGGTAGTATATAATGTCTTCTGTGTATATAATGTCTTCTGCAGTATCCACAGTATGCATCCGATGAAGTGAGCTGTAGCTCACGAAAGCTCATGCTCAAATAAATTGGTTAGTCTCTAAGGTGCCACAAGTACTCCTTTTCTTATTCCTGGTTAGTAACTATTTACTGGGTCTAAAAAGACAAACTAATCTGTGGGTTCTTTAAGCAATAGTTACACAGAATTCCAGGGAACTGTGGAGAGGTTTTCATATTTGTGTGTTTTAAAATCACACATTACATTCAAAAATATGTGGAGAACATTTGATGTTAACAAATATTGAAATAATAATGCTGTGAAGCCTTGCTTCTCAACCTGGAGATTGCTAACTGGTCCAGGGGCTGTGTACAAACCCCTCTCATTTTGGCTAGAAGGATGGGGGGGGGAGTCATGAAACTTTGTGTAACGGGGCCACAGTATGGAAAAAGTTTTGAATCATTACTGTAAGGGAAAGGGGAAGGTCCAGCTGACAGGAAATTTTCTAGTGACAGATGGTCACTCTTTCTGGCCTGCATAATCAGGAATGATTTTTAAAGCGTGAAAATGAAACCTGAGGTTAGGCAGAAAGTATGTCATCTTGATTCCAGTCATTGCACCAGAAAGTCAGCGATTGCTCTGCTGAGAATGGTTAAAACACGGGAGTAGAATCTGTCTCCCTGTGCTGCATGGACATCCTAGTCTCTCATCTTGCAAACGCTTAGTCATGTGCTTAATTTTAAGCATGTGAGTGATCCTAATGGTCTGGATTGGGGTCCTAATTAGGGTTGCCAACCCTCCAGGGTTGCCCGGAGGTCTCCAGGAATTGTGGCTGATCTCCCCTGTCCTTGTTCCTTATCTCAGTGCCCCCTTGCACCCTAGAGTCCCTGTGCACCTCCCCTCTGCTCCTGCCTGCTCCCTAGGATTGCCTACTTTGTAATGGCACAAAACCGAACACCCCTGCCTGCACCTTTCCTGAGGCCATGCCCCCACTCACTCCATCCCCCTCCCTCATCGCTCTCACTGGGCTGGGGCAGGGGGTTGGGGTGCAGAAATGGGGGGTGAGGGCTCTGGGGTGTGGGCTGTGGGAGGGAGTTTGGGTGCAGGAAAGGGCTCTGGGCTGGGGCAAGGGGTTGGGGTGCAGGGTCCCAGCGGCACTTACTGTGGCTCCCAGGTCCCTGCAGCTCCTAGGCTTATTGGAAAGCTCAGGGAAGCGTGTCTGCTTCTAAAGGCCCCTCCCGCAGCCTTGCAGGAGGGACCACTTAACCCGGGATTCAAACGAGTTCAGGGGACAACTAAGAAATAACAGGGTCAGGAGTGAAGGTCAAAGGTGCAAAACTAGGGATCCAGAAGGGGACACAGAGCGGAGAACCCCGGACAGTGTCCACTGTTCCTCAAAGGTGTCTAGGGAGCAAGCAGATGCCGCCCAGAGGAGCTCTGCCTGGATGCGTGAGACCAGGGAGGAGCAGAAATAGGCCCCACAGTTGCAGAGCACCCCCTCGTTCAGCATCCTCCTCCTGGTGTTGAAGATGGTCACTTTGGCCAGGGCCAGGAGGAGGTTGACGTGGTCTCGCGACTTCGTGGGGCCACGGACAGGGTGTGTGAATATAAACAGGTGTGGGGAAAAGTGCAGCCAGAACCTCAACAGGAGGTTCTGGAGGAGCCAGAAGAGGGGCTGCAACCTGGCACATTCAAGATAGGCATGTGCCAGGTTGTCCCTCACACCGCAAAAGGGGCAGGCATCAGGGATGGGTGAACCACGCCAGGTACATGCCCATGCTTACGGTTCCATGGAGGAGCTGCCAACCGATGTCCCTGTTGCCGTGGGACCGGGGTGGAATAGAGGCTGGCCCACCAGGGTTTCTCATCCTCCACAGGTGATAAATAGTCCCACCATTTGGTATCAGGGCGGGACATGAGGGTGAGGAAGTGAAATGTGTGGAGCATGAGTGTGTATAGTTGTTTCCTTGGCACAGTTCAAAGGAAACTGGCTGCAGGGCACGCAGCTGGCTCAGATTGTGGAAGGGAGGGGGCCCGATGAAAAGGCCTGGAGGGCCTGGGGTGAGGGGCAGGCAGGGAGCACCCTCTCGCAGTACCCGCTTAAGTAAAACCTGAGAGGTGGGCAACAAAGCTGCTCACCTCCCGGAGTACACGCAGGGAGGTCAGAAGGATGGAGAGCCCCATGCACTGACCGAGTGCTCGGGTGTTCATCCAGTCTCCCCCGTCGTAGTCCAGGAGGTCTCAGATTCTGGTGGTTTCTATCAGAACAACCTCCGGTGCACCTAGGGGGACTCTGCCACCTGCATACGAAGGTAGGAGTTGTGTAGCCGGGGCTCCGTGAGGAGGTCTTCCCCCTTGGTGGCCACAATGGAGCTGGTCGCCGAGAACAGCATCCAGGTCCGGAAGAGGTCCTGGTTGAAGATTGGCAGCTCGGCGAGATCTCGTGGAAGACCCCTCGGGTGGAGAAAAAAAGGGCTGCTGGTTGTATCAGAGCCCTCGGAGGTGGCGGAGGAAGGCGTGTGCCAACGTGCTCCACGCTGGACTACCTGCACCATAAAGGATTCTCTGCAGGGCCTGGAGGGGGAAGACATGGTCCTGGCTGCGGAGGCAGACCAGGCCCTGTCCTCCCTCCTCCAGGGGAAGACTCAGGACCTCTGCAGAGACCCAGTGCAGTCCTGGCTAGAAGAACTCCAAAACTACCCTCTGGAGCAGGGCCAAGAGCCCTGGGGCTGGGCTCAGGGTGTTGGGCCAGTGCCAGAGCATGGACAGGACTAATTGGTTCAGCACCAGCGCCCTCACCCTCAGGGAGAGGCACTGGAGCAATCCTGTCAATCTCCACAGCCGCTCACGCATCCTGGCCTCCAAATCCCACCAGTTCTCCGGTGGAAAAGGATGTGTGGTGGAAAGGTAAACACCAGGATAGAGCAGTGAACCCGCACGCCACTGAATGGCTTGAAGTTCAGGTGGGAGGGAGCTCATCTCCCACCCATCCCCGACCATCGTGCCAGAGCTCTTGACCCAGTTGACCTGGGCGGAGGAGGCCGCCAAGTAGATCGCCTGGCAGGACTCCACCTGCACCAAGTTGCCTGGGTTCTGGACCACGAGGAGCACGTTGGTGTACACTAACAGGACTAGCTGCAACTCCAGCTCATGGAGCACCAACCCCGTCAACTTCCGACGGAGGAGACAGAGGAAGGGCTTGATCACCAGAGTATACAGCTGGCCTGACAGTGGACACCACTGATGAACCCCTTGCCTGAAGCTGACCGGCTCCGTCAGGGTCCAGCTGAGCCTGACCAAACACTGCACGGTGGCGTACAGCCCCTGGAGAAAACCCACAAATTGGGGCCCCAAACCGAACACCCGTAGAGTGCCCAGGAGATACCCGTGGTCCCTCCCACCTGTCAAACGCCCTGCAGCCCCTTGGCGCATGGGTGGCTAGGGAAGCTCCGTGCGCTGCCCCCGCGCCGCAGGCGCCATCCCCGCAGCTCCCAGTGGTCGGGGTTCTTGGCCAATAGGAGCTGTGGAGCTGGCATTTGGAGCAAGGGCAGCGTGTGGAGCCTCCTTGGCCGCCCATGCACCTAAGGGCTGCAGGACCTGGCGGCAGCTTCTGGGAGCCGCGAGGAGCTAGGGCAGGCAGGGTGCCTGCCTTAACCCCGGCCCCCCACTACGTCACCCACCAGAGCTGCTAGGGTCCCTTTTCCAGGAGCCTGGAAACCCTATTGCTCCCCCATGGCCCCATACCCCTCTGCACCCTGGGGTCCCTTTGCACCTTCCTTCTGCTCCCTGATACCCCCTGCTCCCCTCTGAACCGTTTCCCCCCTGTTCCCCTCTGCACCCTAGAGTCCCTTTGCGGGCCCCCACTGCTCCGACACCCCTACCCTACTCTGTAGCCTGCCCGGAACCCTGCGTTCCCGGAACCCCGTGGGCGGGCTCTACAGTCCCCGGCCGGACCCCAGCCAGCGCTGCGCCGGGCCGGGCCATTTCCGGTGCGTTGGCCTCTCTCTGAGGCCGAGGCGCGCGTGTCCCGGTAGTTGCCGCGCGCCCGCCATGGTCCCGCGGGAGCTCGGTGGTCTCCTGCCCCTGCTGCTCTTCCTGCTCGGCGCCTGCGCGGTGTCCAGCTCCCCCGGGCCGGGCGGGACCTCGCCGCCCCCGGGCACCACCGCCGTCGCCAACGGGACAGGGCCGGCCGGGAACCACAGCGACAGCGGGGTCCGGGGCCTGGACCTGCTGGGCGGGCGGCTGCCCGCGGTGCAACGGGGCTTCTACGTGCTCAGCGGCCTCTGCGTGCTGGCCGCGCTCTACTTCCTGGTGCGGGCGCTGCGGTGAGTGGCGGGCGCGCGGGGGGCCGGGAGAGGCGGGGGGGGGGGGCAGACATGGAGCTCCCCGTATTAGGGACCCATCCCAATGGAAGGAAGCTGGTCATGAGACCCTCCCTTCCTTTCCCCTATATTCCAAGGGGATGGGTCCCCTGTAGACCCCCGTCCCCTGGAGCATCTCCTTCACTCCATGGAGTGTCTTTGTGGGGGTGTGTGTGTGTGAACAGGGGTGGGGTCCTTACCCCCATCTCCCCAGGAGGCAGGCTTGGGAACCTCCGTTGCTTCCCCCCCCCCCCCCGCCGTTCCTGGGAAACAGACATGGGAACATCCTAGACTCACTTTCCCCTGGAATAAACACCCCCAGCCCTCCCCTCCTCGGGAGGCTTCTGGGAGAGCCATCGGTCTCCCACGCCTCTGTCATCCTTTGTGGATTCTCTGTTTTCCCGCGGGACGCTTTAGAAAGAGTGAGGAAATGCTGGAGCCTTTTGCAATTCCTAGAAAGATTACGCCATGCCCTTAAAACACGCCTGCATTCTTCTATTTCTCTTGGGAACTCTGAAATCTTTCTCCTGTCGCTTGAGAAAGCGGCTTCTCCAAAACCCCACCCTCTTCTGATGAGTGTGGGCTCAGTGAAGGTAGCTCTGTACTTCTGCTGTAAAAGCTGAGAGGAGTCTGGAGGTTGGTAGAAAAAATGTCCCCTGAGACTCTGCCGTCCCCTTTATCCCTGTGCTGGTGTAGCAGGGACAGAGTAGTTGTTCTTTGTGCCTCAGGCCCTGAAGTGAGAGACAGAGTCCAGCATTCCACCCTCTGAAGTGTGTGAAATCCTTTCCTGCCTTAATAAGGGTTTGTCTACACAGGAAAGTTTTTTTTTACCAGTCTAACTGCCTGTATGGACATTCTTATCCTGGAATGAGAGTAGCTTTTTTTGGTTTCGCTTAAGCCCCTTTTGGATGGCTTGTCTGTATTAGAAGAGATCTGCTGGTATAGCTATGCTGGTATAGCTCTGTTAGCAAGCCTTACTGATGTAGACACAGCATATACCCATAAAAGCACTTTTTTCTGTTATGATTGTCTACAATATAGCTTTTACTGGTATAGAAATGTCAAAAAAAAAAATCACATCCCTAACTGGCATTACTGTGCCAGCAAAAGTCCTAGGCATAGACCTGGTCAAAGTGACATGGAAACTGAACTGAAAAAAAGGCACTCTGAATCCGGAATAAGAGTACCCACACAGGGAGTTATACTAGTATTACTATTCTGGTCAAAATTCACTCCATCAAAAGCACCAACTAAATTGTTTCCGATACAGTCTTTCTGACTAATATCCCCCATTGGCAATGGTATGCAAATATAGGGCTGATATTTTTGAGCTACTCTACAGGTGATGACCACTGAAGCCAAACTATGTGCTATCCAGGAGCAAACCCGAGAGTATGTAATAAATAGTCCACAGACAAAACATCCCGATTCCCTGTTTTTGTTCATTTTGTCCTTTTGGCTAACCAGGCCTCTCCTGTCCTTATGAGCTCATGACATTGTATGCAAAAGGGAGCCTACATCAGGGTTTGTGAATGAAAGTTCTAGATCAGAAGTACCTGTGAATGAGCTCAAAACTGATTTCAGGTTGAAGAAACCTCAGCGGAAGAAGTATGGTCTCCTTTCAAACTATGATGAAAATATGGAGTTGGGTTCTCTGGACAGCGATGAAGACACAGTGTTTGAAACAAGAAATCTGAGACGGTAGGTGGATGTTTACAAGTAGCTAAATGTTGCTTTCAAAAGATGCTTGACGCTTGGGCACAGAATCTGCAACTGGATCCATACAGGTGAAACGCTGTGCAGGTGCAAGGGTCCAACTGTGTGGATGGATCCAATTGCAGTGTCAGGCATTTGGGTTAACAGTCTCAAGAGAACGACATTGCATAGATGGTCTTCCTTGGGATACTAAAGGGCCTTTATACATGTGAAATTATTAGAGACATGGATTAAAAATTAGCTTGTACAAAACCTGAGATCAATAATGGGGGGGGGGAGGGAAATGGGATTTTTTTTTTTCTGTAACAAGGTTTCTCCTATTGTTTGCCTCAGCTTTGTAGCATGGTGCTAATGCATGAAAACCAGCAAGTGAAACCGAATAGAAGCTTACTAACACCTTCCCTAAATGAAAATGTCTAGGTTATTTTCTTCCTGGGACTGAGTGAAACACAGATAGTAGACAGATTTCAAATCCTTTATTTTAAGAATCTACTAAATGCTTTTTATAAGATAAGACTCTTTCAAATTATTTTTCATGTGATAATTCCCTTTCCTCTGCATCTCATACTTATTTTAATTCTTCCTCCTTCCACTCTGCAATACTGAATGGACTCTTCTGTAATCATTTTTATTTTGGTTATTTCTGCAGTGGACACAGTGCAGTACAATAGGTGATCTGTGTTAGATAGTTATGTCGCTCTCCTAGAGAGGTTGCAATTCAGAACAAACACAATGACCCAAGGTCACTTAGAACTGGAATTTATCATAGAACGGTCCTTTATAAAGAAGGAAAAGGGAGGGGGTTTGGCATGCATATCTCTCAGATTCAGTTCCAAGCATATGGAACGCAGTGAAAGACCCAAAGACTAAAGAAGATGAAGGGACTTATCCCCCTGGAAGTTCAGGTGTATTTAAGAAGTGTCTGGAGTACAGGTGGTGTGCAAGAATATGTAAGCGGGTAATGAGTGCTGCATGCTCGCACACAAAGTGGGAGACTGAGAACAGCAGCTAGAGGCAGGCATATTGTGGGCGGACTGCGTGTGAACTTCTCCCTGCACAGCTCTGGCATTGCATGTCCTAAAATCATCTTCCCTGCCCTCCTGACGTCTGTGCATTGTTCTCCAGTCTCCTTCCATCTCAAGGAATCTGCTCCTCATTTTGGCTCCTACCTTCCCTGTTCTGAGAACCAAGCAATCTTTTTGCTGCATCTAAATTAAACATTTCAGACTCCTTTGCATTTAATCAGCTAATGTCTGTAAAGCACTTTGAAGTTAAGTGTTAATCTGGTACTTGGAATTTTGCCGTTTAGAATATGGCTGACTGAACACCTAATAAAGCAAACTTGGCTTTTAACACTGAACTCAGCTCTGCACAATTCTACATTTAGAGGCGCCTCTGGCTTCGTTCAGATATCGCTTTCTCTTCATTATGTTTTGTTCTGATCTCATACAGGGGGGTAATAATACCTAGCTTTTTATCAGGAGTTCTCCAAACACTTTACAAAGAAAGCCAGTATCATCCCCATTTTACAGATGAGGAAATAGGGACATAGAGGTGAAGTGACTTTCCCAGCAGAGCAGTGGCAGAACTGGGAATAAGCCAGGTATCCTGAGTGCCCAGTCTAGTGCTCCATCCACTAGACCACACTCCGTCCTTACAGAGTGGAAGCAGTTAGTAGTCCGATAGCCCAAACACACACTTCCTTCAGGGAGTCAGAAGCGTGTGTCATATAGTTGCTTCTGCTAGAGATTCTAAAACCTTTCTCAGTCTTATGTGGAGGAACCAATGGTGTCCTAACTCAGAGCTGTCTTTATCCCATTAGGACACGTGTTAATTTTAGCACTTACTTTTTTGCGGTGGAGCCTTGATAAGTGGGTTTGATTCCTTCAAAGTGTTTTCAAAGAGGAAGAGAATCACATGCACACAGCCCTCCTTCATCTCCCCCTCACTCCATCTCCCTCCCCCACAGCTATTTCAAGGCATGCTAAAGAACTGTCAAGCTGTAAACGCTCATGCTGGTGCTTGGATGTCTTCTGTTTTCCAGGTGATGTGGGACCAATGGCTCCAACTCCACAGACTGACCGAGAAGGTGCAAGTCCACCAGCAGAATTGCCTCACCAGTTCTTGGGTTTATTTTTTCTAACTGCTTAAGATGGCTGCTAGCTAACAGCACACAGTTTTATAGGTGTGTGTGTGGGAGGGAAGGCAGAGTAGTAAAACGATAAGTCCTACTGCCCTGGGTGTTATTGCTCATGCAGGAACCATTGTAACTCTCTTGATAACGAAAATGTGACTCTCTAAGGTGGGCTTTCAGTTTCTAACATTCCTAGTGATGGACTGAAGTATTGCAGCCACATCAGCCGGCCTACGAAATCTAGTCAGTATCCTGTATACATTTATATCCCACCCTATAGCAACTATTGCAGTGAAACTGAAGTGGTATCAGGCAGTTGGATTCTGCTTGTTGCCCACACAATGCTCTTACTTTTTACTTATTGCCTTTATAACTGACTCCACGTCAAGCGATATCAGTCTCTGAGGTCTGGAGCTATCCCTTGCATTAGGTAATGGATCTGTACTGTAGTTCAGCCAGCTGGAGAGTGGCTGTGGGGCGGGGAGGGAGCGGGTTCAGTGCATCAGTGTTCTTGCAGTTGCTATTAGGGCTAATGCTGCAACCTAAAGATGGAAGCGACGCAGTGACAATACAAGTCATTACCTGACTTACAGAATGAAGAAATGTGTTTACATTTAAGGGATATCACTGAGCCAGGAGGAGAGTCTGAAGTAGTAATAACTTGTTTGGCTAGACTGTGGGATCAACACATGTTCAAACTCTACTATTTTGTATAGTTGCAAACCAGAGTACCTGCAAAAGACCCCTTTGCCGCAGAGTTGTTTAATATCTACCATGCTATTAGATTCAGTACAGATGGCATTGTCGTCAGACATAGAAAGTCGGAAGTACTTGTTCCCAATGCAACGCATCCAAGAACAACTGTTGGCTGGAAAAAGCAGAATAACCTTGAAGAGGAGTTGAAGCCGGATCCCTGTTGACTGCAAATCTTAAACTGAGGCAGTGCTGGTTCAAAAATAGCTCTTCTTGCGTGTAGGGAGCAGTTTCAGTCCATGCATTAGTGCTCTGGGCTGAGCCATGGAATAAGCCCAGTGAGCCGCAGAAATGTCCCGTTGTAGCCTGGTTGTGTTGATGGTCAGTGACCTGTGGTGAAGGGGTCATATGTGAATGTACTAGAAGTGTGCAGCAAATATCTCCTTCCCTGTACCCTCATCAAGTACAGACCCTGCTTGTACTGTGATGGAAACTGCTAGCAACAATCCTGTTTAAAGTACACTTCTTGCAAGCGTGTGGCTTCAGCCACAATGCAGATGCAGGGTGCAGTTTATTTGAAAATTAAGGGCCATACTGCCCTGCAATCCTGAAGATCCCACCTCTCCTCTAGGGATTGGGTGCCATTGCTCCAAGAATCCCAGCACAGTCAGCCTGTAAGCTAGGAAATACCCTACTGGAGAGGTGCAGCTTTAAGGCTACAGGACTGTATTGTTCTCAATACAGATTGGGTGCTACATGAAGCATCTTTGGGAGAGAAATATGGGATAGCAGCTCCTTTCTCTCGGAAATGAATTCTGTCTTGTTAATGAGGGAGAAACTGACCTGTTACAAAAAGAGCGCCAAGGAGAATGATTAAAAATTGACCATGCTTAAATGGGTTTGCTGCCAGCCAGGCAGCAGAAGTGATCTCTGGGAGCTGTGCCATGCTTTGAAGTCCTGAACCAAGACAGTGTAGAGAGCACCATGTCCCTTGGGGTCATCTACGCAACAGGCAGTATTTCTTGATACCAAGGTATCCTGATTAGAAGTGTTGATTTCCTCTACCACCCCAGATACCTTAGCTCTTAGCTGTAGGCTCCCCAGCCTGCTGAAAGAGGTGCGTACTTGTTTAAGATTGAAAAACAAAATATTTTTGAAAGGACGACTTCCGTATGATCAAAGAGCACCTTGATAGTCACAAATTTCATCTAATTTGTATCTGTTAATGTCCATTTTAGCACCTTTGTATGTTTAACTGATGCAGAGATGACAGTGTGCTTTCTGTGTTACCCGAGCACAGCTGTAATGGCTGAGTTTGGCCGGTGATGCAGAGAGTTAGCTTGTTTTGATTCATTAGAATGGTGGTGTCTTCATCCCTTCTAGGGCGGTACTCCATAAACACCCGTGGTAATGCTTGCCTTAACCCTTCAGCTCCCATCACACCTCTTTTCCTGTAAAGCATCATTCACAGGTCACTTAAGTCAGACGCTGCATTGCAGGCCAGTTAGTTAACGGTTTGGCTCAGGTTTTGTAATGTTCATCGGCCTTGCATTAGCTGAGGCAAGTTATTTTTTCATTCCTTAAGTTCTGCTTCTCTGTTGGACAGAGTGAGTTTGCAATCTTTGATTTTCTTGGGTCTGTTGGAATGAACGATTCTAAGACCGTATTGATTTTAATGTGTTAATGGTTTAATAATTCTGGTGAAAGAAGATGGGACCTATTTTATTTTTATATATAAATTTTTTTTCAATTATTCAGGTACAAACTAGGGGCCTATTATGAAAATGTTCTAAGTGGAGTTTGATGTCCCCTTAGTAATTATTAAAAATCTAGGTGAGGATAGCGCTAGTGTATGTAACCTGTGAGATACCAGTTCTGCTGGTATTGAGTAGGTGCCTAAATTCACCCCATTGCAGAAGGCTGGCATGATGCCTCTGTCCCTCTTTAAACCCTCAAAATAAGCTGTGCATGGGTGAATTTTGCCCCCTGGAGAGTAGAAGCAATATTTCTGTGGGTGTAGAGGGGACACTTGCTACCTAGGAAAAGCCTCTTGCACTTTTTGATCTGAGTCTGTTCTGGTTGGAGACTGACCTGACCTCTGGCCAATTCCATATTAAAAGCTGACTTGTGTAGGCTATTTTTTCTCTTAAGCATGGGGAATGCACCTTAAATTCTGTGTCTTGAAGTCTTTACATCAGCTTGGCGTTGCACGTCACGAGCCAAGATTATCTCCTCACATTCCTGCTCTCAGGCTTTTGGTTGCTCTAAATTATTAATGTACCTTGCGGGAAGAAGTAAAATTGATGACAACAACAAGGTAAGACTCCTTTCAGTGCAGATCTATTGCTCCATGTGGCTTTTGTGCCTCCCCAAGCTGACCCAAAAGAAGAGTGGGAGAGTCAGCACTGTGGCGAGACCCGCTTCTGAGAGCGGTGGAGACGTCTTGGCAATGGACAGTTGGAGTGAGGCCAGCATAGCCCTTGCAGGACTATTACTAATAATGGTGGCTTTTAAATCCTGGCTCTTATTTCCCCCAAAGAGAGGAGCTCAGGCTGGGAGGTGCCTTCAGTGGTTATTTTAATTTTTTTTTTTTAAAGCATGTTTTGGGTTCCATGTGGACACCCCGGTAGATCACTCTGCAGTATGCCTCCGGCAAAGCTTTTGGGGCCCTCCCAAAGTGCCTCTGGCAACACCCCCTCTTCTGAAAAATGGTTTTGATGTGTGTCCTACTTCCTGTTGTTCTGGGTGTGAGGGGCCACTCGCTCTGGCTGCTGCCTCTTGCCATGGGCCTTCCCAGTCTGCTCCCTCCAGACTCTTGAGCTTCAGAGCCTGACTCGGTGGTTGCCAAAGGGCCTGATTCTCAGGACACCGAGCACTCCTGAAGTCGATGTGAGCTGAGGATGATCAGGACCAAGATTGTGTGATGCTTCTTAATGTTCATGCAGACATTGACCAGCGTGTGCTCCAGGTAACAGCTATAGAGTTGAAACTGTTAGGGTTGTTTAAGCCAAAGGCTAATTAACAAAATTTACATAATTCTCTCTAATCTGTTTGGGGGGTTGTATCGAGTTGTCTAGTACTGGCATCGAACTACTCACTGCTGAACTAATAGGCAAATCGTCTGGGGCTTTTGCTGCGGTTAATGAGATTGATTCAAAGTGATACTGGGCTGCAGCGCTCTACTGTTAATACTGTACTCTAGTTTTGTTGCATTTGCACATGACTTGAATGTGATCTGTAGCACTGAGGTGCTGAGAGAGACCTGTGGTCTGAACAGATTGCTTGGCAGTCAATAAAAAAGCACTCTAGTGCACAGTGGTTTCCCTCCCCCTTGGAGTGTGCTTGTTTTTAAACAGCAGCCAATCCTGTATTGATCTTCCATTTTCCTTTTGGTCACCATTTGTCTCCACCCCTCATATCTTCAAACCAATAAAATAAAACATTCCATTTCAACAGATTCCTCCTTTGTAGCAACGGTGACTGTGACCTTCGTTATTCTGAAAGACTGCCCAGTACCAAGGATGCAGTGCTGTGCTGATCCACAAGGGGCTCTGTTCTCAAACTCTCTCTCTGCTTGGGCACTCTAAGGCTAAAAGATGTCTTGCAAGCAAGAGGGCCCAGGGATATTAGTGTAAGAATGAGTGGCATGTGCTAAAGCAGGGGAGAGCACTGCTGTCTTGTCTAGCTACTAGCTGTCATCTCCATAGCATGACATAGCACCTCCCAATCACACATGGATTTTTATCCACGTGTCACCCCAAGAAGTATGCGCAAAAAGAAAAGGAGGACTTGTGGCACCTTAGAGACTAACAAATTTATTTGAGCATAAGCTTTCGTGAGCTACAGCTCACTTCATCGGTATGCAGGATCTGACCAAAACCACCCCAGTGCCTCCACCCCCAGACTATTTACTGCGTCATGACAGACTATAAACATTTGCAAATGGGTCCTGAGCCCAAAAAAATTGAGAACCAGTGCACTAGATTATCCTTCCTATCCCCAGCTGCCTTTTAGCCACCAAAAATGGTATAGAGGCTATAGATGTGTTTTGCTTGTTACGATTTTACCAAGCGTCCCTTTACTACAACTCCTTGCTCTGTGCTCTGCTTTTATCAGTGTCCCTCATGCAGACCCTGTGGCTTAAGCCCTGCTCTAGCTTGCCCATTGGTCCTCTCCACTGATGGAATTTCCTTGCATGTCTCAACTTAACCTTTTTCCGCATTATGGAGATCCTCACATTGCACCTTGTTTTCCTTTTCCGCAGGTTAGCACTTACCCTCTTCTCTCCCACTCCCCCCTTCATGCATATCTAGTCCCCGCTTCAGGTAAGAAAGGCCTCACAGCGCTCCTTGTGCCAGCTTTATTTCTTCGAATACTTTTGTGTTCCATCAGCTCAGCAGCAAGCCACCTGTTTTCCCCATCAGTGAGAACAGGGCAGTTGATACCTGTACCTCTAAATGCAACACTGGCCCTTTTTTCCATAGCTCAACGGTGGAGTTTGCTTATTTGACACCTGATGGAGCCCAAATATAGGAATTAGTCCAAATCCAGGCCCAGAAAAAAGCTGAAATTACTATGGAATTTTTAAAATATATATGTATATAAAGTCTGCTGCAGTTTCCATGGTAAACATCTGATGAAGTGAGCTGTAGCTCACGAAAGCTCATGCTCAAATAAATTGGTTAGTCTCTAAGGTGCCACAAGTACTCCTTTTCTTTTTGCGAATACAGACTAACATGGCTGTTCCTCTGAAACCTAAAATACAGTAGTCCACTAGGTGGCAGTCTCACACTGAGTGTGCCTATTGATAGGGGGATGAGGTCAGGGAGGGAATATATTGTATTGGACCAACTTCTGTGGGTGAGAGAGACCAGCTTTGGGGGTAACACAGAGCTGTTAATGGGGGGTCCCTTGAGAGTTTGTTACATGCTGGTGCCACTGGGTATCAATAACTTCAGGCACTCTCCAAACACACAAAGACCACTCCCTGCCCCAAATAGCGTTCGGTTAATTATGGCAAGACAGAGACTCTATGGTGGAGAGCGAAGTAGGCTTGTGGGCCCCATTTTGTGAGTTGAATTTTGTAATGGCTGGGTATAAGCTGGGGTTGTTGCAGCCAGTGTGGCCTTGCCCAGACTGAGTTTACAGGTGTGATGTTAGCTAACATGTTTTAAGTCTAGTGTAGACAAGCCACATGGCTTTTAATAACTGCTAAACTGCTTGAGTTAAGCCCTGGGCTCCCTGCTCATACATGCTATGTGGACTTTTTACAGCAAGGGTAAAGCTTGTCTGTGCAGGAGACTGAGCTGGGGGGCTGCTCAGTCTGTGGAAGGAACTCATGCAGGAGCTAAGGGTCATCCCACATCTTCCCACTTCCTCTCCAAGTGCCGGGGTGCTTCTCTCATGGGCCTTCTGAACCACAAGCCCAGGCAACGTGGACATAACATCACCCTAGCAAAACTACACTGCACGTGCAGTTTCCCACCTGGGGAAGAGAGTGAACCACAAGTGTCAAGTTTCAGAGGAACAGCCGTGTTAGTCTGTATTCGCAAAAAGAAAAGGAGTACTGGTGGCACCTTAGAGACTAACCAATTTATTTGAGCATGAGCTTTCGTGAGCTACAGCTCACTTCATCAGATGTATACCGTGGAAACTGCAGCAGACTTTATATACACACAGAGAATATGAAACAATACCTCCTCCCACCCCACTGTCCTGCTGGTAATAGCTTATCTAAAGTGATCAACAGGTGGGCCATTTCCAGCACAAATCCAGGTTTTCTCACCCTCCACCCTCATGTTGTTGATGCACTAAGGGAAGGTGCTCAGATACTCCAGTGATGAGGGTGGGATAAGGATGTGTATGGGACAGAACAGTGCTAACTGCACCTTTAAATTCTAGTGCAGAGAACGCCTACATAAGAGATGAGAGGGTAGTAGAGGGAAGGCTGAGCTAGAATGGAGTGGATGAAATCTCTGTACACCCTTCCTACATATCCATGGGAGTGCTAAAATAGTGAGACACCGCCTTGGGGTGGGAAGAGCCAATTGGTATGTTCTCTGGATGGGGAGAGAGACAGCCTGAGCTTGTCTGATGCGGGATTTGGTTCACACATACCAGCCCGCAGTGGTCTGCCCTGATTTTATATTAACGTCCATTAAAGTGATCTGGATTCAACTTTCGCTGCCTGAAATGGGAACTGCAAGCCACTTTCTGAATGGCTGTAAACTCTCCTGGCTGTACTGTCATCTGTTCACTGCTGGAATGCTGTTGAAACTGACAGCAGCGCTTCATAGAGTGGAGGGGAAACTATTTTTCATTTTTCTTCCATGGTGGCAGAATTACAGAAGTCTGTATGGCAGGGCTCTAGCCATGGTTTTCATGATGCTTCTGTATCAAGCGTAGGGAAGAGATGAACAATAGTTTGTGTGTGTGTGAATGTGGTCTGCTACCAAAAACAAACCCTACTGTAATACTTAACTCTTACGAAGGGGTTTTTGTTCATAAATCTCCAAGCACTCTGTGAGGGAGGGTATATACCAAAGAATCATAGAACTGGAAGGGACCTTGAGAGGTCATCTAGTTCAGTCCCCTGCACTCAAGGCACTACTAAGTATTATCTAGACCATCTCTGACAGGTGTTTGTCCAACCTGCTCTTAAAAATCTCCAATGATGGAGATTCCACAACCTCCCTGGGCAATTTATTCCAGTGCTTAACCGCCCTGACAGTTAGGAAGTTTGTCCTAATGTCCAACTTAAACCGCCCTTGCTGCAATTTAAGCCATTTGCTTGTCCTATCCTCAGAGGTTAAGAAGAACAATTTTTCTCTCTCCTCCTTGTAACAACCTTTTATGTACTTGAAAAACTGTTATCATATCCTCTGTCTTCTCTTCTCCAGACTAAACAAACCCAGTTTTTTCAATCTTCCCTCATAGGTCATGTTTTCTAGACCTTTAATAATTTTTGTGGCTCTTCTCTGGACTTTCTCCAATTTGTCCACATCTTTCCTGAAATGTGGCACCCAAAACTGGACACAATTCTCCAGTTGATGCCTAATCAGCGCAGAGTAGAGCGGAAGAATTACTTCTCAAGTCTTGCTTACAATATTCCTGCTAATACATCCCAGATTGATGTTTGCTTTTTTTGCAACAGCGTTACACTGTTGACTCATATTTAGCTTGTGGTCCTCTATGACCCCCAGATCCCTTTCTGCAGTACTCCGTCCTAGGCAGTCATTTCCCATATTCTCTGGTAGAGAGAGGTGAAGTGACCTGTCTTAGGGTCACACAGCAGGTCAGTGGCAGAGCAGGTAATGATGCTCAAGTCTTTGGCTCCATTGTCCCTATTCGCTGCCCCCACAGCCTGGCAGTGAGCATTGCCACTTAGGTTTCTGGAGTCTTGTTTTATTCTGGTGAAGGGAAGCGGCACGGTCCAGTTTTTAGGACGTGTATTCTGGAGACCTGGGTTCTATTCCTGATTGAGTGCGTGACCTTGGGTGAGTCACATCCCCATTATGCCTGTTTCCGGTTCACTAAAACTAGAATAAAAATAGTCACCTCTCAGGAGTGCCTAGGGTAAATGTATTAATACTTGTAAAGTGCTCTGAGATCCTCGAATTGGATGTGACAGGGTTACTGAATAAAAGACAAAAAGAAAAGGAGTACTTGTGGCACCTTAGAGACTAACCAATTTATTTGAGCATGAGCTTTCGTGAGCCACAGCTCACTTCATCAGATGTGTGATGAACATCTGATGAAGTGAGCTGTGGCTCACGAAAGCTCATGCTCAAATAAATTGGTTAGTCTCTAAGGTGCCACAAGTACTCCTTTTCTTTTTGCGAATACAGACTAACACGGCTGTTCCTCTGAAACCTGAATAAAAGACAGTGCTCAGACATTGAACAGGAAAATATCTGCATTTTCATGCTAAAGTATTGTACTTGCTGCTCCAGTTAAGTTATTGCCACCCGCCCTTAAGGCCAAACAAAATGCATAACTTTGGGGTATTCTAGTGCCCCCTGCAGGCTGCGCTTCCACACGCGCCTTCTAAATGTTGTGCTTGTGCATAAACCCCCACGTGGCAAGGTACAGAGGACATTTGCAGGAGCCGTTTGGGGTAGCTGTATTTACTCAGTTCACAGCTGCAAACATTGTTTCTGCAATGGACGGGGAGTATAAAATCTGCTCGGAAACGTTGGCTCGCTATGCATTTGTAATATAGACAGCACTTTCCTCTTCAGCCTAAAGATAGCGGGAAATATTTTTGAAGTCTGCTGTAGGTTCTCTGTCGTCTCTTCTGTGCCACTCAACAAAGCCCCTCTCTACAGCTAGCAGGATTCTCTGTAAAAAATTAACTTTACTTAGTTGGCGTTTAGTCTAAATTCTCCTTCTGATCTTTATCTTTCTTCCTTACAGGATGGAAAGGTGAGTGGAAGTGGCATTTCATCCAGGAA